ATCGACAAATCTAAATTGACAGTGACATTAGGTGCTGGGGCGCTTAAGGTGCACTCCCGTTGGGGTGTAAGGAAGCGAAGAGAGCAGAAGCGAGGACTTTTCGCTGGAGTACATAATCAAATAAGGTATATTCTTTAATTTACCGGTAGATTCCATCACTGATGGATCCGGTGAACTTATCGTTGACAGCTGATGTCATGACATTAGCAACCGGTTCCGTTGAGTGGTGGTTAATAAATAGCTGAATTTTTAGCCTTCAGGTTGCTGTTATATGAGAAAACCTAACCCTTGTTTTATCGTGAATGGGTACTTGTTAATTTGAACTCCGTATCATTAAAAATCATGGCAATGTACGCAACAGTTGGTATTGTGGTGGAAAGTTTGTTACGCGATTCGAGTGATGATTCGGATGAAGAAGTTATTCAGTGGAGAGAAAGAACAAATTTTCGGATATGCAGAATTCAGAATAAAATCACTTGCCTTCAGACGCTCTGTTTATTTCAAATTGAATTAAAAAGACATTAAATTTCACGCTACTCCTATGCTGTAGCATAACTTCAATCTGTTCTTCTTCCATTTTTTCACACAAGACTGTAGTTGTCAAAAAATGATAAAATGTAGAGGTTAGAATGCCGTGGATCAACCGAGCCCGAACGTCGGTGGACGCTGTTGGCACCGCACGGGTATCATGAAGAAAACCTACCAAACGTCAAAAAAAACCTATGAGAAGTCAACTTGCAGACTATGTAGTTTTTAGGGCACAAGCAGTCATTCCACGTTTGCTCACTAGGATCGTTGTGAACGTCCATCTATGGAGGAATCACTCAACTAAGCTACACGCATTATTGGTTGCATAGTTTTGTGAGGCTGAGTAATCCGTGTCTGTAGTTTTTATCTCTGAAAAGAAAGTTGGTTGAATAGCAAGATCGCGTCTGGATGATTATGTGTATTGGTCTGCATGTTTATAAGCTCAGTGATATTTGCTGTGTCAGAAAATCATTACTGAATATGCTGAATATGACGGGTTATTTATAAGTTGTGCTTTCTGAAGAGAGGTTATCTTCAATGTTATAAATTACGAAAAACTGAGGAGAATTACGGGAAATGATCATCGCGCCTGCGTTATGTGTAATTACAGTTAGCATGAATGTGGCTTGTACTTCGACAGTTTACGGCGAATTTAAGTATTTCTGATCTCTCTCATTTTTGAAATTCAGCAAATTTGTATATGTAATTTCCAGAATGTATAAGAAAGAGTGGCTGGACAGTTAATTTCTAGCTTCAAATCTCGATTAAGTGTATTTGAGACAAGAACTCGATGTAATTATCATCAACACATACAACTTACAGCTTAGACCTCCAGTAATGCTATCTCAGAAGCAGATTTTACATCACACCAGAGCCAAAGATTGATTTCAAGCCTCATGACGCTTAGGCAACACGTACAACTAAGTGCTCAGTTAACATCTTGTACAAAAACCTACATAATGTCAAAAAAAAAACAGAGTAATGTCGAAAAAAACCGGGATAATGTCACTTTTCAAGATACGTGGTACCGGTGCCGGTGGCATATCCACCATCTCTATAAAGACAAGTTTGATGTACAACCGGTCGTTCCAGCGGATATTAATCGACGCAAAATTGGCTAATTGGTTGCACCGGTAGCTCAACCGGTAAATTAAAGAATATACCTACAAGAACCTACATGTTGGAGTGACGCAAAGAGAATCAGCATGTCACGTTTGACAAGTAACAATTGTATCCGCGATTCTCTTACTGGCTTATAAGTTTCCTGAGTGCCCGAGCTTATCCTTTTGTTGGATACTTTGTCTTCTTTATAAGGTAAATAGCTCAAATTATATGATGTAATCATCACAAAGCATCTGTGACTGACGATTTGTACCTCAAGAAAGACCTGCTGCAGAATTTTCAGCTAAATGGTGTTCCCAGAAATAATTCAGTTCCGGCTCTCAACGGATATTGAGCCATTAGCAGTTTACAGTTTGCTTTCCTAGTAATCTGTAAGCGTCGACGTGATGTTTCTGAAACTTGAAAAAAAATTTATACCAGGGACGTACGGCTACAATCAAGAATTATATCCTGAAATAGCACGAACAGAGTGAAATGATAGGTCCTATAATTTCATCGCGTATTGTGATACCGGTAATTTTTTGATCGTATATGTTATCTAACTTATATAGGGTGAGTCATTGTTCTATATGTCAGAATTTCCTTGTTTCAACGCGACCTTAGCAGCTCTGAGGCACGAACATTTTTTATTTATATATCACTATATGTATAAGATTTTAACCCAATACCTTAACCCATTTATTAAGATACAATTTTTTGTTCAGAATAATAACCTCAAGTGGGTAAATCACTTTTTCTGAACCGACGTTTATATAAACTTTTCGTTTTGGCTTTGGTTTCCCATGCTGCCCTGGAAATATTACTACTGTTTTCTGAATGACACTGTATATCATAGTCCTTTCTGTTGTCGAATTGCAAAAGCAATGCTTGTAAAATATAATACACTGTGCAAAACAAATAAAGAAGGCTCTTTATGTATACACGCAGGTTATTGTATGCTATTCATTTAAAGAATCACATGTATCCTCGTTAAAATTCAGTTATTAACCAAGTTTTTTATTTGTGGTCGCATTTGGTGCTTCCGAAGAACTTCATCGCAAAGCGTGCATAAATCATACGGCATAGGATTCGATTGGCTTTACTGAGAATATAGGAAAAACTTTTTACCGATCTGCAGATATTCCGCGTGATAGGAACATGTACAAGAAGTAAAAAACCACCGCTTTTCTTTCGGAGAAGCGTTTTTCTGACAATGTAATTCATATGAATACGTATCCATCTGGTGAAAATACCGCAGCTTCTCCAAACCATGATGAACATTATATTATGAGAAACCTCTCGCTATTGTTGTAACTTTGGTAATAGGAGGAGATCAAGGTTAGTACAGGAAAATAAGGGTACTAAGACATAATTCCTAAAACACGTCAAATTAGGAAACTGGACTAACACTCTTGCAAGTCAGCAAACTTCAATTTAATTTTATTCCAGAGGAATGTGTGCAGTATGGAATAGACTGTAATGTCTGTTGATCTATCCCTACCGAAACATGATTTTTTTAGGAGGATTGAAGGACTCAATCAAATCTTTCTCTTCTGTGTTCCTCAGCATCGTGCCGTTTGTTACGCTTCATCATGATTCCAATCCGTCTTACTTTGCCCAGACTTTTTTCCTATACAACCATCATAGATTGACACAATTGTCAACAGCGAACCTTTTACAGAGTCAGTCACCTATATTTGAGCAGAAATCTTCTCGACAGTATATTCCTTCTCTGTTTCTTCTAGATGGCCTCTGAATCGTCTATTTCTACAAGGTTATCGGTATCAGAGTATGATGTTCAGTGAATAACGTAGTTGTAGCGTGGACCAAGAATGCTCTATTCCACATACTGTCAATAAACTACGAGAGTAAAACACCAAGTGCTGTGTTAAAAGAACCTCTAATTAGAATAAAGGGTGCCTATTATCTTGTCTGTATAATAATAATGATAACCGTAAATTAAGCAAAACGTTAATGAAAAAATAACGATTTTTGCTTAGTCAGAGATTACGCTGAAGCCGGCGGCTATACACCTGTTTTTTCCTAAGAGAAAGTATGCTCATAAAGTCTACTTTCCTAAAATTAACAAGCTGAATCCTCGGCACGTCGTTTTTTTATCCACATAATCCCGCGGCTACAGTTTGTTTTCATTCCAGATTTTCATTTTATGACGGCATATAATCCGTTTAAATTAAAATTGCTCAGGGTATGAGTAATTTATAATTGTTATACTCTCTTGCTTTGGATAACTTCTGGAACGGAACTCGTTGTTTTTAATTTTGTTTAGTTCAGTATGCGGTCTAATAACAGCTTCAAGAGGTACAAATTGTGCGTTTTCCTGCCGCCGTGTGTTTGCGCTTAATTACACTAGGTTATTAAATTCCACAAAAAGCAGGATATTTCTGCGCTGAAAAATATATTCTTTTGTGCTTAAATAACATCAAATGCCCAGCCTCAATGCAGGTGGACCGCAATGAAGATAGGACCAATCATGGTGATAAATAATGTAGAATGCGCCTACACAAAATCTGAGGGATTAATCGAGATCTTGTCCCAGAATGAATTTGGTATTTTCAGTAGTGATGATACAAAGACCGTAACCACTTTCAGATGTTGCGAATCTACTTTAAATGTTGTCATCGAGGTTAGCCCAAAATTTAGAAAAACGTTGCTAGATAGAGGTCATGTATACATGGGTTGGCAAAGATGTCCTGTGCGGGATTATGTACGAATTATACGCTGCTATAAATGTTCAGGTTTTGCCCACATGGAAAAAAATTGCGTACATTCTAAAGTAACATGTCCTTTATGTGCTGGATATCATTTGGAAAAAAATTGTAAATCTGCTTTTAAGAATTGTTCAAACTGTATGAATCACAATTCTAAATTCAACACTCAATTTGATACTAGTCATTCTTCTAAAGACTTAGATTGTCCAACTTATAAAAAACATGTTACATACTTGAAATCTAGAATTGAATATGAATAGTGATAAATTCGATGTTTTAAAATTTGGTCATATAAACTGCAGATCAGTTTTATCAGGATTTCATGAATTTAGTACACTGGTTCAAAACAACAACCTTGAGATTGTTGGAATATCGGAAACGTGGTTATCAAAAGATATATCTAATGACCATATAAGAATGAATGGTTACAACTGCTATCGCTGTGATAGACATGGGCGAGGTGGTGGGGTTGCAGTCTTTGTAAACAACCACTACAACTCTTACATAATTTCATTTGGGCAAGGGCCAAGTCTTGAATATATATGGTTGAAGGTGCAGCTTCCAAAACAAACAATTGCTATTGGTATATTCTATCGGCCCCCACATAGCTCTGTTACAGAAGCCGGTAATACCTTTGATAACATGTTGCCTGCCATATTAGCTGAATATGATGATATCATCCTTGCAGGGGATATCAATGTTAATTTGCTTTTAGTTTGTAACAACTTGACTAAATGCCTTGATTCTTATAATCTGAAACTGGTGATATCTGAACCGACTAGGATAACTGAATCGACACTCACTCTTTTAGATCCTATTTATTTGAGCAAGCCTGAAAGTTGTCTTAGGAGTGGCACTATTAATGCTGATATGATTACTGGTCACTATTTAACCTTCTGTGATATACGTATTGCACTTCCTAAAAATCAACAGATATTTGTGACATTCAGGGATTTCCATAGTTTAAATGAAATAGCGTTTGGATAAGATCTCAACAGTTTTCCATGGTGGCATATTATATCGATAGATGACATTGAAGATAAAATTAACTTTTTAACAGATAGTATTTTATGCTTATTTAATGTTCACTGTCCAAAAAAGGTAGTGTGTGTAAACAAAGCTCCAGCTCCTTGGTTGGATGATAATATCAAACTTGTATTCAAGCAGAGGGCTGAAGCTCTGTCAAAGTTCAAACGTGATCGTACAGCCGCCTCTTGGCAACAGTATACATATTTCAGAAATCGTGCATTAACGCTCGTGCGAAGAGGAAAAAGAGATTATTTACAAGCCTGTTCAAAATCAGGATATAAAAAAGTTTTATAAGACCCTAAAGACTTTCAAAGTACAATCTCAGAAAGATTCTACAATTCCCGTGAGCTTGTCAGATCCGTATAAAATAAATGAGGCATTCATTTCAATTTTCGAGAATAGTGATTTGGCTTGTGCTGATAAAATTGCATATTACCGAGCTAATAAAAATAACTCGAAATTCAAATTTCAATTTAATAAAGTGACTATTGACACCGTTGTTAAAATTATACATAAAATAAAATCAAATTCTAGTGGTACAGATGAAATAACTTTGCATATGATACTACTATGTATACCTGAAATTGATGTGTACTTAATGCATATTATAAACTGCTGTTTAGAGAGGGAATACTTCCCCAATCAGTGGAAACGCGCTATAGTTATTCCGCTACCTAAGTGTTCTGATCCTACTAACTATGGTCAACTGAGACCGATCAGTCTACTGCCAATTTTCTCTAAAGTATTGGAACGCGTCGTTTACGAGCAGCTCTGCGCCTACTTATATTCTAACAAAATTATTCCATCTAAACAATCTCGATTTCGACAAGGTCATAATACAGCTTCGGCATTCTGTGATTTAACAGACAACATAACAATGGCACTTGTTAACCAAAAAGCAGTAGCTCTCATACTTCTTGACTTTACTAAAGCATTTGACACCATTGATCACTCACTTCTTGTATCAGTTACTATGGATTTTCTGAAAAACCTCTTTCGTTTATTCAAACCTACCTTGAAAATCGGTATCAAAAAGTTCGTCTAAATCAACAGTACTCTACGGAACAAAAAATTTGTTCTGGTGCACCACAGGGATCAGTCTTAGGACCGCTATTATTTTCATTATATATCTCAGATTTAGAAACAGAGGAAAAATCATGCAGCATACAATTTTTTGCAGATGATACTCAAATTTTCTAATCATTTAGTAGTAATGACTTGGAAACGGCAAATAATAAAATTAATCAAGATCTTGCCCAAATTGAAAAGGTCAGTAGTAGTCATAATCTTCGTTTGAACCCTTTGAATACAAATATGTTGGTATACGCAAATAGAACAAAAAAGAATACGTAAAAAAGGACATAGACATACATTTAAAAGGTAATAAATTAATTCCTGTGGATCATTCGAAAAACCTAGGCATTATTATAGATGATGACTTAAAATTTGTGGCACACGTGAACTATCTAATTACTTAGTGCTACGCTATTCTCAGAGTTTTATTTGCAAATAAGGCTATATTACATAAATCTGTGAGAAAGCAGTTGTGTGAATATTTCGTATTTTCAAAGATATCGTATTGCTTAGTGGTTTACTATCCCTATTTAGATATTATAACAAGAAATCGTATTCAAAGCATTATGAATACATGTTGCAGGCTTGTAAATGATGTCTGAAAATATGATCATATATCGAATGCCATTAATGAACCCAAATGGATGAAAATTGATAAAATGTATAAGTACCAGCTCCTAAATCTGACTCATAAGGTTCTTTATTCAAAAACACCGTCATATTTACTAAACAAATTCATACGTAGAGGGAATATGCATCGTATTAATATTAGATATAGAGAGACTTTTTCAATTCCACGCCACAGCACGTCTCTATTTCAGAATTAATACATTTACAGTGCGATCAAATCATATAATTCTTTAGACCGCAGTTTAAAAGAAACCAATCCATTATCCAAATTCAAGAAAAAAGTGAAAGAAGTTCTTCTTGATCAGCAGCGAAATCGATTGTAACCCATAAGTGTCCTCATACTTCCCTTATGTATTTACTTGGATTATTCGTTATTGTATACAGGTGCCTATTAATTTTCAACAAATTCTTTTTTTTTACATCTGGTATTGTTAAGGGGGTTAGATGGTAGAATAGATATATAATCTAAATCTCGCCTCCTGTGGGAATATTACCAATAGAAGACGTTAATTATTATTATTATTATTATTATTATTATTATAATCCTTGATATCTAACCTACTTTGTGGTCCAGCTTACGAATGACTTGAGTTCTTGATCACCAGATTAGAAAGCTTTGATTTTGGCTGACTGCCGGGAGAGGAGAGACAACCGTTTTGTTTGAGAGCAGATGTCAGTAGTACACCGCTGTATTTAAATACAATGATTCCATGAAGATTTACATTCACTTATATAATACTCAGCGGCAGACGTGTTACACCCAGAAGAAATAGTTTCTTCAACTTGTTTTTTTGGTTGGTTTGTCCTATCGCAAAATTGGCCGTCGTGTTAGTTGTACTGCAATGACAGTAATGCGTATGTGTCGTGTGTGGATAGAAGAAGGTAGAGGAACACGAAATAGGCTAACTGGTCCACCGGGATGTACCACAGAGCTTCAAGGCAGGTGCTTCAGGCAACTAGCCCTCCGAAATTGTTTTGCTATTACGGGTCAGATGGCTGACCAATAGTTTGGAGAAGAAGGTAGACTTGTTACTATGCGTACACTCTATCGTTGCATTCACGTTGTGTACGTGTACGTTTTCCATACCGTCCTCTGTTAGTGCTACGTCTGACTACGGACTACAGTCGTCAACGTTTGAAATGGAGCATAGAACGGTAACATTGGGATGCCGAATGGCGTAATGTCATCTTCAGCGAGGAATCGTGATTCTGTCTAGGTACGCACGATGGTCGTAGAAGGGTAAGATACCGCCATGGAGAACGGCGTGATATTGGATTTGCTGTGAGAGGCATGTACAAAGGATTGTCGGAGTAATGGCTTGCCTATGATAGCCGATTACCCCTTCTCTTTATTCAAGGCAATATGACTGCTGCGCGTATTGTTGACGAAGTCCTACAAACCACTTTACTGCCGTATCTAGAGGGCCGTCCACGCGTCCTCTATCAGCGCAAGACAACGCACGTTCCCATATTGCTTATCGTACTATGGAATTTCTTCAAGAAGCAGGCGTTAATGTTTTGCCGTGGCCACCCCGTTCACCGGTTTCAAATCTCATCAAACCTGTAGAATATGATGGGGAAGAGACTATCGATCATCTCATTTTGTCGATGTCTAGGCGTATACAGGAGTGTATTTAGCCGCCGTGTCGCCCAACACATTATCAATTTTTTTCTTTTTACTTGTCAATAAAATTTCGTGAGAATGTTAGTGTTTCATTCTCGATGTAAGACTACCTCATTGGCAAAAAATCAAGTTAAAGAAATTATTTTTTCTGGGTGTAACACTTCTAAAGTCACTGAGTATAATTTTCAGCAGATTGAATTATTTGTAATCAAAATTAATAATGCTCAATATAGGTGTTTTCGGTTTTTAATATACTAAGTGACATATAAATCCGAACACCCAGTTTAAATGATTTTACTCGTATTTTAATAAAATTTTGTATAAGTACTATATAAGCATAATAAGTAAATGATAAAATTCCAAAATGATTGCACTGCTTTAAAGCCCTTTGACCTTTAATAATGTGTGGATGCACCCTGATGTGCTACGCATTCTCCAACGCGCCTAGTCATGCTTCTGATCAGGTGGTCAATGTCCTCCTGTGGTATCTCATTCCAGGCAACCACCAACTGCTCTCGAAGTGCTTCTAGAGTCTGAGGAGGACGTTGCAAATTGAGCAATCTCCTATCCATCATATCCCACACGTGCTCAATTGGGGATAAGTCGGGAGATCTTGGTGTCCATGGTAACAATGTGACATCATTATGTTGAAAGAAGTCTATTGTGACTCTTGCAACATGTGGTCGGGCATTATCTTGTTGGAAAGTTGGATCCCAGGGTGTCAAGATAGGGTACCTAAAAGATGGGGTTCTAGAACTTCGTGGATATAACGCTGCGCGTTCATGTTACCTCTGATGAAGATTAAAGGTGACCTGGAACCATAAGCTATAGCACTCCAAACCATAACTCCAACGGTGTGATGAACATGTCTTTCAACAAAAAACTGTGGATTCCTCCTTTCACCACGTCGCCTTCTAACCCTGCCACGACCATCGTGCATGCCTAAACAAAATCAAGACTCGTCACTAAAGACAATACTGTTCCATTCCTTTGCAATGGACCTGATAGTGGAGAAACGGTCCCTTAAGGCCAATAATCTTAGGCGGCGATCTTCACGGTCTGTTGTTCTACGGCGGCGTCCAGTGCCCCTTGCTCTTTGCGTACGGCCTTCTCGAAGCCATGCCTGACCACACCTAACCACACTGTCTACAGTTCTTTGCACTCTAACTGCAATTGCCCGAAAAGAAAGTCCAGCTTCCCGAAGTCCCACTATACGGCCCCTATCAAACTCACTAAGTTGACGAAGTCGTACAGGTCTCGGTACTCTAGGCATCGTAACCGATCGTAAAGGATATCAAGAACCAAAATCCGCCAACATTGATTCTTTACTGCGGCTGAAATATTCATTTTTAGAGCGTTAGAGAATTAAAAAAAAAGCAGTATAAAAACCGGAATGTCCAACTGATAAGGCTGACAATTTTTTCACTTGTTATTTACAGTAAGATAAATACATTCACCAACTTTTATTAAATTAAAACCATTTAAACTGTTCGGATTTATATGTCACTTAGTATAGTTTACAGACCTTTGCATGGTGAAAATTGATATTTTTATTCTGTACTTATTTATATATTTTTACTTTATTTGTCCTGGTCTGTAACGGGAGCTTTATCCGTTGGACAAGTTTCCTTGTCCGTAAATAAATGACTTTCCAGCTCCGTTTGTTCATATACATACAGTACAAATCTTTGTTATCGTTTCCGATGAAAATCAACCCGACGGTTACTCTATTTCAGCACGATTCCGACTTTAGTTGCATTGCTTTTGTGCTCTCACCAAAAGCAGCCACTAAGAGACTGGCAGCTTTCTTTTGGGGCTGTATAAAAAGTCTCTGAGGATCTGATTATTAGTAGAAGTTGGAATATAAAAAACTTTCTTTTTATTTTTGAAAATCTTATAAGTAACATATTATACCAATGGAATCTGTCAAGTTACATATGTGATATTTTTTCGCTTACCATTATTGCTGAAACAAAAACAAAACAAAAGTATTTTATCGGTCTATTAATGATATGACATAAGCAGGTATCTTTAATCAACTATAAACTAGTGCTGGCAGTGCCGTAACCTGTTTTTATTTGAATACATGTGCCAAGCTGGGTTCCCATCGCTCAGATTGATTTTTCTGTCTACCAAGAGACTGTCCATCTCCTGGGAACAAAGCGTAAAGCGCAATGCTATAAGAATGCTCAGCAACCCCTTTCAAATGCTGCAACACCCCATGAAAAATTCTCTTTACGTTTCCACTAAAACCGTTGGGCGGAGTTAAATGAAGGATCGCCCTGGCGCTCGACTCTGCCAAAAAGCACGTAAACATACATTTTCGTTGCGTTGGCAGTTCTTATTTCATCTTTTAATTTATCTTTGTTCTCCCTCGCCGTTGCGGACAAACGTACGAATGCTACAAGAACATATTTTTAAAAGAATATCTCACAACATAAAGTATGTATGAGCGCGCGTGAGAGGCTTCATTGCAAGTCGAGTGTTTGACTTTCTTCGTATAGTCTGTATATCTGCATTTTAATTATACTTATCAATGTACGAGAAGTATTATCCACACAAGAACCAGGCGTCATACGTGTTTTTCGAAATTATTCTTAAGAAACAAAATGCGCAGATGTAGAAAGACAAATGCAAAGTTAATTAAGAATATTTTTAGGCCCGAAAATAGTATCATGCCAGAGTTTATAGTGTAATAAAAAATCAATAGAAGACCATCTAACCTCGGCATGGTGGACAAATTATGCTCAGGATTTCCTAATGAGAACTTGGCGACTTATGCCTCTGCATTCTAAAACATTGTATCGGGTACAGGCAATTGATCTTTTGCCAGAAATAGCGTAAATGTGCAAACAAGTACTCCGAGTTCAAAACCGTAATGAGCTTATATATCCTGTTTGCTGTTTAAGTTCGGATGTTTAACGAGTATTTCTCTTTGTTACAGTGAACCAGAGTACTGCACTACAAGAAAATGTGACCGCTGCGGCTATCAAGATCATCATGGTTATATTTTTTCATCTACTACTATTTACTGGTAAGTAGAGGAGCACTACTAGGTACTCACTGAATTAAGCGCTTCTTACTGAAAATTCGCAAAGCAGAAAACAGGTAGGATATTAAGTGAGATAAAGAGTTAAAGAGGAAAGTCACTTTTTTACAACGTCTCTTTGATTTCTTGAATTTAGTGATCTATATGCATTGGAAGTCAAATAATACGAAGAAAGGTAGCTTGTTTGGTTATCCGGAAAGATTTTCTCCAGAGCTAATCGATGCATTCGTAATTTAAAGTTTTATTTCTTTTCAGGTTGAATGGGGTGGAATCTTAAGAAGAAATTGCCAAACAAGAATTCATTTTTTGAATATTTTCTATAAATGTATAGAGTATAATATCGGATGTTATAAGTGTATAAATAAATTGTGTAAATTTTTTGACATAATCTACGAGTTTCAATCAAGATACCTTCACAGTGGTTTCAAAACCAGGAATCGAATGCAAAAATTGAATAGGTAACTGACTATTTCAGCATTTGTAGAAATTAGCATTACCCTTTCAAACCACTGACACGCGGTTTATCAATCACAGATTAACACTAGCTGCGCTGTTAACTAAAAGCAAAGCAATACTCAACTTCAAACAGATATCATTTGCAGGTTAACTAGGAAGTTGTAATTATACCGCAATGCCACGGCTGCCACAAATACATACATCAGTGATGATACGTTACTCAAAGACAGAGCTTCATAAAATGCGTAAAACATGATGTTCGGAGCCTGTCAGCACTGACATATCAACTGTTATCGATTAGTTAACCAGAGCTGGAAAAATAAATTTTTAGACATTCTTTCAGTCAACTTCCAAGGACCTGCATCTAACTAGATTTTGATCTTAGAAACCGAATTGGGACCTTATATTTGACCTTAGGTCTTAACTTCAAGGTTATTTTAACGTCAACATTTGTTTTGTAAATAGAAAGTCTCCTTTTTGATACCGCCAAAGAGGAGGAAATTGTCTGACCATGAATAAAAAAATCCAGGATTATTGCCACCTCCGAAGGTTAAATGAAGATCGAATGTGCTAGGAAAGATTAATAGAAGTTTAGTCAGTTTATTGATGAAAAATGTCTCCTTCAGTAACTCTTAACAACAATTTTAAGAACTGCCTTTTTAACGGATAGTCTACTCTTTGGCCGGCAACGAAAAGCTTCACGGTCAAACACCTTCTATTATGATTTTAAAGGTGACACTCAAGATCAGATCTGGAGTTACAGTTGAACACCATGTTTAATCCTAATAAAGATTAGACCCCGACCACTTATAAAAATACCTTACCTGGAAGAGTACAGAGCCTTTTTTACCTTCGTTACACCCTCATGATAATTTGGCGCCTAATTCTAACTGTATCAATATTAACACGACAGTGTCCAAATGATCATAGCGGTATGGCAAGGGAACATGAACATTAATTTTCGGGGTCGAAATTAGATTTAGGCTCATTCACTGGAAATTAAGAGTTGTACCATACAGATCCATGGAATAGCAGTCAAGCTTCGGTCAAGTTGACCAAGGTAGGTATCTCCGTTTAACGTCGGTTCAGGCTAGATTTTTACAGCTTTATGATGATCGGTGCAAAATTGACATTTGTTTATGGGTTTTTAGGGTATGTTGCGCATAGGGTTTTATTAATGATAGTAGAAAACTAAGGTAACTGTAGAACAAGTTATTGATGGTGAAGATTTTGTGGAGTTGTATTATATACTGGTGCAAGCCACAAAATCTCAGACCCATAGATTCAGCAGGTTTCGTTTCATAAAGGAAGCAGCTGCTTTTACTGCCTTCGAAATCGAGAACAAAATATCTTTTTGATCACGGTGTACATCGCCACTCAAACAAATAATTTGTTTGGATATCGCAATCCACGCTTCAGTTTTCAATTTTTGGGAATTCACATCAGAGTTCTTACATTCGATGATGTGTTGGTGTTTTTCAACAACTCTACCAAGGACTTTGAAGACAATTCAGCGGCTCTTTTTTTTTTGAAATCCATACTAATTTAACTTGCTGACTAGCGAAAAATAATAGCAACACGAAGTAAATATAAAGCTAAACGCTCAAGTCGCTGAATAAAGAGTAATATGTCAGTAATGTCAGTAGCACCAAGCAACAGTGTCAAACAGAACCGCAACTCTGCTTGGGTAAATTCAAAATTTACCTACTTTTATCCTCCATGCGACATTACCAACCTTATAAATTAGTTCAGTTGAACTGCGATTGAACTGTGATGGTACAACGCATCTATCATAGAAACTTTGTCAAGCTTGAGCTCAAGCTCACGTATTATGTCAAAAACCTATAAAACGTCAAAAAAAAAAGCAATAAAATGTCATCTTGCAGACTATGTAGTTTTAGGGTGCAAATAGTTCATTCTACGTTTGCTCGCTATGACTGCTATGAGCGTCCATCTATGGATGCATGACTCAACTACACGCATTGTTGATTGCATATGTTTTGTGAAGCCGAGTCGTCTGTACTCTTCATCGCTGAGAAGATGTGAAACAAAGAAAGTTGGTTGAACACCAAGATCGAAGCTGGATGATTATGTGTACTGATATAAAATCAGTGATATTACTGAATATGCTGCCAATGAAGTATATCTATCATCTGTTCTCGACGAGTTATAATATATCTTGCCCTTTCTGAGGACAGATTTTGCTCAAAGTTATAAATTTCGATTTATTGCGCCCGCATTGTGTGCAATTAGGTCACATCACAGAAAAATTAGTAACGACGCATCACTGTCTGTATTTTATATTATCTTGCAAGTTCTTTCACCAGCCAGGGATTTTCTTTTCTCGTTTTCTTATCGCTCTTATTTTTGAAATCCAGCCAACTTGCATATGTAATTTCCAGTTAATGAATAAGAAAAAGTGGATGCGCAACTAATTTCTAGCGTTGAATCTCAGGCAAGTGTATTTGAGACAGAAATCCAATGGAATAATCATCAACACATATTATTAGCACACACGTCCTCACTATGCATTGCCGTCTCCTTCTAGCTATGTATAGCTAATGCCATATCTTAAGCAGATTTTACATCACATCACATTGATAACTAAAGCATCATGATGTTTAAACAACACGTACAACACAACGAGTTAACAACAGGTATCCATTAGCTAGTACTAAGTTAACATGTTATAGAAAACTTTACATAATATCACAAAAAACAAACACAAAGTCAAAAAAATCGACATAATGTCACTTTTCAAGATACGTAATATCCGTGCCGGTTTACTGTTGTTTTTTACAACTGGCCCTAAGTCACAACTTGGAGTTAGACCACCTTAAAATTAAACTGCCATCTTTTACCGACGCCTCTACTTATGGTGAGGTAATAATATTAACGATTATGGTTAGGATATTTGGGGATGTATTGAAGACATCTCCCTTGTTCATATTATGGCAAGTGACTACTCGTAGAGTGAGGTCACGTGAGAGTTGCGGTACATTGAGTACCGCGCCCTAATGCTGAAAAGATGGTCCAAGTCTATATAGTGTTGTCGTTTTCTACAATTTGAATCATTCTCGCATTTTTCGGTCTATAATACATCGAAAAATGGGGCCATAATCACTTCAGTTGTCGATCGTCATAAATTCTCCTGCACTAAAACTGGAAGGGTGACTTTGAACTCGTGCCGGGGTGTTAGTGTGGCACCATTCAAAGAAAGGCCACTCCTCTCATATGGAGTACAAATACAACTCATAATAAATTCTCCTGGCTTGCTCATCAACGACGGCTTTCAGCTGAATCAGCAAAATGGCGGCGTTAGGCCATCGCTGTGTTCACAAAATACGCTCGGGCATTAGTTTGAATAAATAACTGTAGGATTCGGATTCTATTGGAAGTAATGGCGACGTCGCGTCGGTACACACGCCACCATGGAAATGGAATAATGAGTATTTGCTCGGTTTGCGTTTACAGCCCCTGTGTGCTGAAATGACAGTCGGCTGTGCCGCTGTTGTCCTTGAAACTGAAACGCGGCGGTAATTTGTCGGAATGCGTGAAAACGGAGTTCGATTAATTTAACGCAGTTTGAGAAAAATATGGCATTTTATCTACACCTGTAGTGTACATAATTGTTGAGTTTTGGGGGCCTTATTGGTCTGGGAGCGGAGTGGCGGTGGGGAATAGACAATAAAATGTAAATATCTAAAAACCACATACATACATACAATAGAATGATGGAATTAATGTGCGGTGCAACCGGAAATGGAAGAAACTATGATAAATATACCTACGTATAGGCAGGCGTAGAAAATAAAAAAGTCCTGATAGTATATTTTCTCGCTATAGCTTATCACAGCTCGTGAGAGTTGGAGATATCCTTTTTTAAAACGATTGAGTGATCTCAATATATTGCTTCTATTTTGATGGTGATTCTAAATCTGTTGAGGTTCAAAAACGAAGTTGAACGAGGTACATGAGGTCAAAATAATGTTTGTCAGTAAAAAACACTACAAAATTATTTTGTTTCATGTGTCTCTTTGAGGACTTCGAGGTGGTGGGTCTCAAAAGACTGAAAGAAGTGATATTTTGAATCTACAAAACCAGCAACTAGAATGTTTCAATTTCTTCTGTGAACATGCACATATAGGTTTATATTTTCGCCTTATAGATTGATCTCCCTAGACTTTTCCACATGTAGCCATCAAAAAAATATTTAAAAAAACTTTATTTGCCCCTTAAACGGCTTGAAAATGGTATACGTAATATTTTATTTTTGCGGAAAAAATGCCTCCGTGATTTTTATTCAGTATCTTTGTAGCGGTGTGACTTAAAAAATGGCAAACCCATTACAAAATAAACATTTATGCATATCTCTCTATACGTTGTTGGATGGCTGTTAGAGTTTTATAAACAATTTTGGAAATGACTACGAAAAAAAAATCGTACATCAAAATTGACAGACGTAATGTATCCATGAGTAATATTTTGAACTCAGCACTTCAGTCACATCTCACTAAGAGCAAATACACCTTCATCATTAAAATGTTAAAGGAAACAGTCGGTACCCCTCAACTATGGGTTATTCTAAACTTGGAACATGTGAGTTAACTATTGGGTTGCAAATTTTGGAATGAATAAAAAACCGAGAGATCAGACGATTCCACCACGCTTTGGACTTAATAATATAATATACATGTATAGTAAATTAATCAATAGTAATCCAAATCGTCGTGTAGAAAATAAATAATATAGTTCGATTAAATTAACTTTAAAGTCTCGTGCGTTGCTGTCCTTGCTAGTGAGACTGGCAGCAGTGAGAGTAATCTGTAGTAATGTGCAACAGAAATGAGAAAATGTAGCATTTTATCTGTACAATGTACATGGCGATTCATGTCACGTCTAAAAATGCAACGCTGTGAGCAGG